GCCTATATGGAATGTTTCCAAGAAAGGTCATCATCTGTTGTGCCACGGAGGCTGCTCTCTTTCTTCCCACCTCTTTTTCTGCCTGTCTTCCTCTCAAAGCACCCTCCCATCCCTCTTTGTCTCTGTCTCCTTCTGCGGGCTGCAAAGTCGGTCATGGTCACAGCACTGCCGTGTCCCAGTGTTGGCGTAGGAAGGAGCTCGGGGCCATTTGACACCCACGCTTTGGCGCCTAGAGTCCTGGGGCAGAACTCTGTCCTCCACCCCAGGTCACCTCACCTCTCCTCTGGGCACTGATGGGGTGACAACCCTCTTTCCCTCCTCACTTTCCAGATGAATACACAGGACTGCTGCCCTCAACTAGAGCAGCCCTCTACTGTGCTGCACTTAATGATTTCCTCCTGCTGCCTAAACCACAATCAACTAATCTACTCTGTATTACATAGTGCGTAAATGATTCCTCTCTGCCTGCAAGTTATAGAAGGGCAGACGTCTCTTTCTAGGCCATCACATTTTATTGTAAGGAACATGTCTTATGTATAATGTCCTAATCTACAAATGTAAAAGTAAATCTAATAACATTTGTAATACCTTTCACCATCAGATAAACACAGACATTTCATGTTTACAGTATGTCATATCAACACCCATAAGGATTTTACTAGTGCCAGACAAACCCAGCCTCGGGCTCTATGCTGCTTCAAGGTGGACAGCTCATCAAAATGAATGACGAGTGTTGAAATGTGAACTTGACCAACAGAAGCTGAGGGACAGCAAAGTGGGAACAACCGTACAATTCTTGCCTCAAGGGGAGAAAAGCTGTACTTTGTTGCTGTACAAAGAAAGTGCTATGTGCTGAAAAGAAAATATAAAAACAAAAACACTAGAAATTCTAAAGCCCTAAAATAACAGCATGTTGTGGAATCCTCTTCACAACACAAGCTCACTCAGGAAAAACAAAAATGGTGTGGTCTGCACTATGCTGGAGCCTACCCATATATTTGCAAACAAAGTATGGGGATGAATCATCACACTGATGTGAATTCAACTTGTTGACTTGGCTCCACTCGTTTTATCAGGGGATGCAGCTTCTTCTCACTCCTTCTCACCAGAGCAAAACACCTGAGCTACACAGGTTTGTTGTGAAAGTTAACTCTGTGAATGTAGGATGTGTAAATGTTGCATACTGGCAGAAGATATAGCAATGGGCTTGCTAGTTTTTAAAGCAATAAATCCATGCAAAGAATGCACAATTGTATTATTTAACCTGGTCGATAATTAAGGCAGAGCTGCATGCGATGTAACATGGGAGCTGCTTAATTATGAATTAATTGTTCTACCGATTTAACTTCCAAATCAGTTCCTTTCCTCTGGTTTCTAGTTTTGTAGGAATCTGATCAAATCAGGTTCCTCAAAAGTCACCTAAGTTCTTGCACAAGTGTTCATAAAAGTGTTTTACATATGCGTACGAGAAGGGCTAGAAACTCTGTCTCCTGGTTGCATCAGAGATTAGAGTCGGCTCTCTTTTTCTTCACATTAACAAAGGTGCTACATGCCCAAGATCATAGGAATAAAATATTTGAATTCTGTTTTAAGATGAAACTCCTCTCCCGCTTAAATCACTGGGCTGATGCAGGGACATGGATAAAGATGTACCTTTCATTTAAAAGGAAATGAAGCCAAGTCATCGTTCTCATAGAATTTGATCATGCTTTTTAATTGTGGCATAAAATGAGTCAAAAGATTAAATGAGGTGAAGAATACTAAAGGAAAAGACCTGCCTTGCAGTCTTCTCAGGTCAGATTCAGTCTTTATCTTACTAAATGTAATATGCTCACTACATTTGTTGTGGTCACTGAACCTTTAACTACTGTATTGGTCAACATCACTGGATGTAGTATGCAAATCGTGTGAGCCCACTGTTCCCCTGCTACCCTTTGTCCACATGGCACGTGCCGAAGTCCCTGTTCCCCTCTCTGTCTGGATGCTGCACTCTGTCCAGTGATGAAGTAGAGGAACCTTCAGCAGAAATAACAGTGCACCACCTGAGTCCTCATCAGCGGCGCTGCGCTGCACATTTCCCATCAGTGCGCCTCACTAAGACAAATCTCCCTGAGCCGGCCATATTCCCAGCATAGAAGAGAGCCGAGCCAAGCAGAGCAGGGACCCTGGAGGGCCCACCACCACTGCGCCTGACGCCAGCGCTCCACCTTCTGACAGATTAGCCTTCACTGAACCCTGCGCACAGCAAATGGAGCAAAAGAGAATGAGGAGGAGGCGTTGAGGGGGGGAAGATGTAGAAGTAAAACACTGGACTTTTTCATTTTGTGTGAACTTGAGCATGAAAAATAACCAGCCCACTCAATCCTACGTTTTCCAGCTAGTGGATTTTGCACTTCCAACTGAGACTCCTGTGGCCAAGAGATATGATTGAAGTGATGTTTGAGGGTTTTTACTGTAGCTGTTTTTAAACATATAAACATAGTTGGCCCAGCTGACAGGGACAGAGTTGCACACAGAGGAGAGGTAAAGGTAGTGGATGCTGTGAAGGAGACACATGATGAGAGAGATCAGCCGATGCACTCAAACGGCTGCTGTTGACCTTGGGCCGATGATGTTCAAGACGAGCAGAGTTCCTCTGGCAGACTGCCCCGAGGTGCACTGACCCCTTTTTCCAGCTTTCAATCTAGATCTCTTTATGTCATCTCTTTTCCAACATTTGTTTATCATCCTACTTTCCTGTTATCTTCTTCACTGGTTCTGTAGCTCACCTCTTTTCACCTCTCTCCCTCTCTGTTCAGCTATGCTATGATTAATAGGAATAGCTCTCAAATCAATAGAGCATGTGTAGAAACTCCACACTGCATAGATTAAATGGACTCAACAAATGCCACCCACTGCTTATGACCAGTTAGACCAGAATGTCCTAATATCATGTTTAAGGCCTGTTTTCAGCTCACTTTAGGTGACACAGTAAGAGCCCAAAGACGGGTCCTGACTTCTTAAGATAATGTGCTCATCTATTCCATTTGTTTATGTGCTTACTTCCCGACACCTCTCCCGTTGTGTGTGCTCTTCCTAAACAGCTGGTGCTATCTCTGTGAATCTATATTTCTCAGCTTTCTCGTCTTCCGCACATCTGTTTGCCTATGGTACTTGACGTGTGAGTTGGAGTGTCGGTACACCTGCATACGTGTGGAAACGGATTTTAAAAAAGGAAACATCATCAGACAAAGTGATATCGCTGTAAAGGTTACGTGTGTTTGGGGAGACAAGAGGAGTCAGGTGACCTGCAAACTGATTTGGCATGCTGGATTAGGTTCTGAGCACACAGCTCTGGGGGCAGCTTTTGAAGGGCAGGAGCCGTGAACGGGCCACGCACTGTCTGCAGACACTAGCAGAGCACCATAGGAGCAGACTGGCTTTCACTGCTCGCTGGTATGCTCCTCACATCCCGCTCCACACAGGGCTTTAACAGCATCTCAGCCAGAGCTCGGCAGCGCTTCAGCCCGTCTAACTCAACCACTCCTGTCAGGCTGAGAAGGGGGAGGAGAAGAACACCAGAAAGAGAGACACATCAATGGTAGTCAGATAGGTGAGGGTAGTGGGAGTAAAGCTTCGTACAGTATATCTTGACTGTCAAGGCAGTTGATTCAAAGCATTTACAGAAAAGTTATTGAGAGGCTTTGACAGTGGGGGGGTCTGGGTGAGAGATGAAAGAAATCAGGAAATGTAAGGCTTGATCTTGGTGGCTTTTCATTTTCTTTTCATCCTACTTAAAGGGTAGAGGTCGTCACAGTGGTTGTAAGCCTGTTTCATAGGTCATAGAATGTTAAAGTTGTGTCAATGACCCAGGAAAAGAAAAATATTTGAGAATGTGACCCATGCAATAACCAACAGGCAACAACTGTGGCATGGCCCTTGTATCAGTTGATGTGGGTTGAAATTGAGGTCTTGACCTCTGTCGTTAGAGGAAGACAGTGCCTGCTGCAACCTGCGGTCTCTTATGGAGTTCAGAGGTGAGGATATGGTGGAGATTGCCGTTTTAAATCAGGAGCCAGGTCAATTTGGAGTCAGGACTCAAAAGTATGGGCTATGTTTGTTTGTTGGCTTCCGGGCTTATCTTTGCATAGGACAGGCACTGTAAAGGTTGTAGCTGTGAAGCAACTTTAAACTAGCTCGACAGACCTGTGTAGAGAGTAAAATGCTTTCAGCAAGTTCGGTGAAAGGCCCAGAATAAGAAACTCAACAATAATCACTTCAAAATGAAAACAACTGAAACACTACTTGGTGACGGAGTAGAAGATTGTCAGTGCTTTTAGTAATGGCTTATATACTCTCCAGCTGAAGCAAGGCTGGCTGAAGGGCTTTTATAGTCAATAGCTCACTCTAAGTGTTGGCTCCTGGGAAGTTCTCTTCAGTGAAATGATCTTGAGATCAGCATCCAGCAGAGTCCTCCCTCTGTTGGCCTTATTAAAAATTAATCCAATTGCCATGTGTGTTTAGATCGATACATTCTGTTAACAGTTTGTGGCCCTTCTCAGCAGGTACGAGTAATAAATGCAATAGTAAGCCACATTGCTTTTCAGCCTCACTAGCTTTACTATATATTCCATCCGGCAAACTGCTAACATAGGATAGTGTGAATGATCACACATGTGTCATTTTCCACCTAAAGACAAAACAAATCAATTGTACCTGAGGTGGTAATTATTGAGGGTGTGATGAATATATTTTGTACTTTGCATCTACAGTACACTTTTGAACCCTGGTATGAGTCTGTGTGTGTTTACCCATCACTGTTCATCACACGTCTTGAACAATTTATCAGACAACTGGTGAGACAAGCAGCTTGTGCTTCTTTCCATTGATTTAGTAAAAATACTGTTACCTGTGGAGATATCGGTTTGTCTGTCTGTTCTGTTCGCCTGTCTGTTTTTGTCTCCCTCTTGTATTTGCATGTTGGATACTACTGGTATTGACACAGTGTTTCTCTCCTATAGGTTTTCCGAATGAGCCTGCAGCTGACATCGCTCTCAAAACCGTAAAGAGCTGGATCGACGATAATCCTGATATGGTAGGGTAATGCATGTTCAAAACAAATGGCTGTTAATCTCAAGCCATCGATCCTTTTGTGCAGGGAATGCTTTCGCTGAATGCTTTGGTGTGAGGGGAAATTATTGGACCACAGCAGAACACTAATTATTATGCGTCCCATATCAGACAGACATCTCATCAACCTGCGCCGCTTGATCAGCCATTTAGTTTGTGGTCTGGCTGCATATAAAATTAAAAGCCAGTCTGAGACTAATCAGGCCTTAAATGGTCTGTTGACTGTTTAATTGGTCTATGCTTGGGAGATTAAACCCAGGAGAACATCTACACATCAGATCAAATAATCTGAAATTGGTTTTGTGTTAGATGAATCATAGTGATGCCATCACATTCAATTTGGTAGAAAAAAGGCATAAACAAAGTAATCACAAGTAAAATAACCACAGGTAATGCTATAATCTACAAAACAGATCATACTTTTCAGTTGAGTTATTAGTTGAATAGCATAATAGTTATCATGATGTTGACATTTTAAATTCAAAGCAAATTGTGCTAAAGATTGAGCTTCATGCTGCCATTAGCACTTTACCTCAGAAAAGCCAATATTACTGTTTTATAATCCAGCCAGTGAGAAAAACCAATAATGTGTGTGCTTTACAAAACTACTGCTTGATTCTGATATCTGCGGCCTTGATGTTAGGCTACACCTAATGATCAAAGATAACTCTGAAGCCTTTAAAATGGTCTCATATTGTGTGCTTCACCCAGGGTGCTTAAACCTTTATATGTGCCTGTATTGTAACAAGTCAGCACTAATTAAGCAGGTGCAACTCCATGTGAAGCTGTTATTATAACCAAATTATAGCCAGAACTAATTTCAATACAAGCAATTATGAGGTGTATACACAGAGCATTTACAGCTTAATTATCACAAGTGAAAAACATTCACAATTAAAAAAGCGTATTTATCACCTTGAGTTGTTTTCATTAACAGTTTGTGATGATATAATTGTGTACAGGAGGCTGTTTGTGCATCAGTTTGTGAGTCAGAGAGTGATGGTAACCTTCGGGGGTCATTTCTGTGACCCTGCTTAAGTCTGTCACTGTGGTTTAAGGTGTTTTATAAAGCTCACAGCTTGATGTGCTACAGCAACCCTCAGCTGGTGTTATGGATGTTTTCAGCCCAGTGACTGTGAGCTGCTGGATAACTTTGCAGTTGAGGTGCTATGTTAGCGACACTTGTTCACTGCCTGATGATTTCTGTAACATTTCTGTGGGGAATCCATCAGCACTCTTCTGTAAAGAAGGTTGTATATCTTATTGCTCACTGTAAATAACCAGCTAATGTGAAAAGCTGACTTTTGTTGTTTTGTATCACATCAAGGATTGTTTTCTTGCCATACGGAGGCTGCAAAGCTGCACATAAGAGATGCATTGACTGATAGCTATCTGTGGTGTAGGTATTTCAATTGTAAAATATTACGATTCATGGAGAGGGGTAGACGTCTATGGAGGCTTCCCTGAACACTGTCTGGCAAAGCTCAGCAAGCAAAAGCAGTGGATCCTCCACTCTAGCTATACCCAGAGAAAGTAAGCTTTTAACAAGATCAGAGAGAATAAAGTGATACATTTTACCCAGAAGTACAGCAGTATTACATCGGAAAGTCTTCCAATCAAACTGCAGCAACAACATGCACTGAAGCAGGAGGTCTTCCCCTCACCGTTGCTCAGTGCGTAGTTGCTCTTGGCGCATCCCGAAACAGATTTTGTTTTGCAAGTAATTATCGCTGTTCAATTTCAAACAGACAGAAAATAGGATTCTAATATTTAAAGGTCCCATATTATGCAAAATATACTTTTTCATGTCTTTTATACATAAATATGTGTCCCTTCTGAGTTAAGAGATTAGGATAGTTTCTGGAAAAAAGATTATTTCTCTTTTTGTCCTGATCCATCTATTTAAAAACCTGTCAGAAAATTAGTTGATCAGAATTTTGGCCCCTTTGTGATGTCACCTTTGTGTGCACGTGAACGGTTGTGACATGACCACCTAAACAGAAAGATATGGACAAATGTATTGAGTATCCTATCCATGTGAACATTATTTAAGTGGGGGGGGGGGAACCTAACATCCTCTAGGGGGTCCGGGGGCATGCACCCCCGGGAAGATTTCTTTTTTTGATATTGAAGTTAAAAGCATCAATCTGGTGCACTCTGAGAGCAACATTAGCAGATCTATGGATACATCTCTCAACACCCATTTGAAACAGAACTGTAAACAGATTTTCTTTTTCTTCATGGATATTTTACAAATCACTCTCCTTTTAAAGTGTATTCTTGTTTATTAATAACAACTTTCTTTTACTGTCATATAGTATTTTATACCTGTTTTTCATTTATTATCTTATCTTTTTATAACTAACGATCATATACAGTAAAGGTGTGCCTTTACCTCACTGAGCTAAGGTTATCAGAACCTCTCAGTCTGTCAGGAGAGAGCTCTCTTCCACCTGGTTGTAGAAAAAGCTCCTTATATTCATTAGCATAGCTAGCTAACCAGATGCAATAAACCCTGGTACCGCCCTCGCTCTCGCTCACACAAAATACGCTTGTGCCACACACACACACACACAGCCGAGCTTGAGTGACACACAAAGACCCAGAAGTAGTTGTAGGCTTACTGTAATGTAGCATATTATTTTCGATGGTGTTATTGACTGTATGATCAGTATGTCAGATGAACAGATTGCCACTGGGCTTACAACTAAAGACAAAGCTACACAAAAACGGCGGCATGTGTACGACTCCTTATGGGTACTGTAATTTTTGAAGTGCTGGAGTGGTGTTCAGGCAGCACTACAGCATGTGATTACACGATACGCTCGTGTTCTGTTTAAGGAACCTGTCCTTGGCTGCGTTGCATGCATGGCTTCCTTCTGCGCTCTGGCGGCGGTCTCGTCCAGGATCCGAAAATACTATTTAAATATTTTGCACACTTATTCCTAGTGTGCCACTGGTTACGGTACCGCGTGCCAATGGTGGCACGCGTGCCTAGGGTTGCCGACCCCTGCATTAGGCAATAACCAACCAAGGTAACACCCGCACCTTGTCACCTGAATCTCCTCAATATTGTGAGTTTTTTAAACCAAACAACTCGCAGAGGGACGCTGGGAGTGGCAGCTCATTTGTATTTAAAGCTACATTCAATGTTAAGACGAATGCCACGTGCTTTGTCTGATATGTTTAGAAAAGCAATTCATCACCGCAGCATTTATTCGATTGACCAACCCAGTGTCAACATGATTGATAACTGACATGAATCTGTTTCAGGCTTCGTGTCAAAATTATGAGCCGACTGCATGTTTTATACAGAGCTTACACTCATTAAACATAGGGGGAATAGAAGCCTTGAATGTACTGCACACTATTGAGCAGGTTGTAACACAGATTGCAACCAGCTTTCCAAAGATAGAGGGAGAATGAGAGGTTTGAAGCCCAGTTTATAATGCATGGAACAATAGGCCTAGATTGCTCAGTGCGCTCACCTCCAGCTCTGCTCCCGGCCCCGAGGAGCCTGTGACGTGGGCGTCCGCAGAGACGAGTAATTTCAGGGCCATGATAAGCGCTCTGCTTTGGGGAAGATACTGCGCAATTGTGGCTGAATTTTAGTACAATGGGCTGGCTGTGGATCTATCACACTGGAATGGTAGAGTACAGGCTGTAGCCCCGAAACGCAACCCAGCTTTTCCTGTGTTTCTGTGTTAGTTATGCACAGGAGTGGCTAGTAATACAGTACATTCCCTCAACTACTGTACTCGAGTATTTCCATGTTGTGCTACTGCATGATTCTACATTTCAGAGACTTGTACTTTTTACCCTTAAAAGGTCCCGTGACATGCTTTTCTGGTTATTACCCGTCCCCTTGTGTGTTATGTAGCTTTTTATGCATGTAAAGGGTTGTCTGCAAAGTCACACAACCTCAAAGTACACCCTGTAGCGAGTAAAACTCTAACACAGAAAAGACCTGTCTATGCTGCCCCAGAACGCCTCGTTGGAGATTTTTCTTTTTCCATTATTTTCTTGCTGGTCATATTGAGACACACACACACACACACACACACACACACACACACACACACACACACACACACACACACACACACACACACACACACACACACACACACACACACACACACACACACACACTACCTCTTCGTAGGTCGTACGTACGACGTACGTACGTACGT